GATTAAAAATTTGTATAAAATCAGGCCAGTGAGGATGTTTTGTTTTCTTGTGTTATGTGGTTTTTGTTGTTGTTGTTGTTTTTTTTTTTTGCATTTCATCATTTTTACTTTGCTGCTGATACAAGTACAAAGTTTTACTTGTAGGTCACTTCAGGTCATTGACTGACAGACATAAGTTGATTAAATTTTGCTCTTCAGCTTGTGTGCTTAGATGTCAGTGTAGCTTCCATGGACAGTGATGAACATGTGTGGTATGATTATCTGTATCTTACCTTGTACCTGTACCAAAGTGAAGAGGCAAACTTTTAATTTCTTTAAACTTCTAGACCTCTAAAGCTTTCTAAAGCATTGTGGAGTCAGTGGCTATCTGCCATAAATTCACCTGCAAATCCAGAATTCTCTTGATTTTCATTCCCATTATAAAAATCCATTTTACAAACAAAACAGAAGCCCTTGGTTCTCATGCATGATGTCAGGACATTGGTCGGAATGTATTAGGGATCACCTAGGTGGGCTCTCCTGGGTCATATTTGCATGTTGCCCTAGCTTTTCTCTTCATGTTAATCTCTGCACTCTCTTCCCTTTGTGTGTCCTCCGAGAAAGTAGGAGCTTTTCCCCATAATTGTAAATTATCTTTATGAAAAACATAAGTTGAGATTATATACATCATTGTAGAATAAAATTTGCCCATTTTCTGACTTCTGTTAAAAACCTATTCAGTTGTTTCCATTGTATTTTAATACTCATTCTGCTGTGTAAATTTATAGGCTACAAGTAATATATCACCTTCTTATTAAGTAAGTTTCTGACTGTAGTATTGTGGAAAGAACTTGAACTTTGAATCAAATGACTGGTTTTGAGTGTTGAGTCAGCCATTTATCAACCCTGATCTTGGGTAAGTTGCTTTCCTCCTTCGAGCCCTCGATTTCTTATATAAATGAGAATGCTAAGGGATATCTGAGCAGAGCTCTTACTAGAAATAGACAGTATTATGTAGTGTATCTGTCACACAACAACACCATGGTGTAATTCACATTTTCAACCATCTTTCATTGAGTAAATTGGGAAGGAAAGCAGAATCATGCTTCATAAAACCAGAGAGCTTCCTAGGGAAGCTCTTCCTAGGTGTTGGTAGGCTTTGCAAACCCTAGCGTTTGTGGAAATGATTGAGGAATCGTTTTTCTCCTTTCTTGCTATTCTGGGTGCTAAGCCCCCTCTATTCTAAGACTAAATTTTACTTATGCAGGTAGTTAAAAGGCTCTATTTTGCCTAAAAGTATAAAATAAAGCCATTTTCTGCCTCATTCTGCCTACCTGTCATGGCTCCTGCCCCCAGGCACTGCCCATTACTCATGTAACTTACAGGGTCCAACCCACTTCTCACTGGGCTTACCCTGTGACAGATATGTCTAGTCCTGTTAGCATGTATAAATCTGTTCTTCCAACTAATATGCACATTGTCATATTTTTTATTAATTTATGGAATTATATATGACTTTCTATAATGGTAAAGATTTAATTTTCTTACAAAATCTGTCTTTTGTGCCATGTCCTCAGTGTACTTTATTATTTTGCTAAATCAATATTCAACATTTACTATTATGATTATACAAGTGTTGCAAATAAATGATGGTTATAATTCTTTACTTGTATTTTCTTTCTGTTTGTTTTCCTGAAGTTAATAATTGCCTTGCTTCTCATATATGATTTCCTCAGCTTATTTAGCTTTTCAAAATAATACTTTTCAGTAATACATGAGCCATTTTCTCCCAGTATTCCCCATTTTCTCTTGTCATTTACTGCCCTTAAGGTGCTACACAGTTGTCTCCTGTAATATAAATTTCTCGTGATCATGGGCTTTCTCCTGGGCATGTTCCCCAACTCCTGGTCCTTGTGTCTCCTCTTGGTTGATTTGCTCTCACTGTTTGGTGAAGTGCATTCACCATGGGACTCAGTAATCTGCACTGCAGTGACTGCATAGCAAACAGTACTGCACCTCCAAACCGGACATTGACAGGAGCTCTGAATGTATTCTGTTACTGCTCCTTGCCAAAAGTGCATGTTGATGTAACGTCTTTTAGGAGAAGACAGGTCTCAAGCAGTTTGATTAATGCATCCTGTGGACCACTGTTGTTTTTCCTTTTTTCCTGAGTTGTGTCTGCATTCTGCCCTTCTTTCCTCTTATTCTCTGCTGGTGCCTACAAGCCATCCTGTGCTGGCCAGCAGAGGACTCAGGGTCTAGCAGAAACTGGCCGGCAGCGTAAGGTCTTGAAGACTCACTCTGCATGGAGGTCAGTCAGTGCCTGCTCTGACTGCGTTGACGTATTGATGGCAGGTGGCTGTGGGTGTCAACGTAAAGGTGAGGTTGTACAGGCATGGCTCTAAATACAAACAAGCAGGTTGTTGCATCAGCAGCACCACCCCTCCCCCCACCCCCGATAAACTGGAGACGTGGAGCAGGCTGCACCATGCAAGATGCTGCTGAAGAGCAAGACCCTGGCCTTTTCATTGCTAGAATAATCATACATCAGCTGTGTGGGGAAGGAAGAGCAAAGGGAGGGGAACAAGAAAATGTGTGCTGTCATCTAAAGTTTCAGGGGCTGTGAGTCTGCCCCCCAAGCACTGCTCATCTGCTTGATGACTCAGTGTTTTGATTGAGATCAAGCCCTACCTCCCTAGCCATGGTTTCAATCTTATCACCAAGTCATTCCAGTGATCAGCTTTTGGGGTCCCTTTTCAAACATCAGTCAGCAGCACCTTGGGCATTCCTGGGAGTACCTGGTGGCACATACCCTTTCAGGGTGATCACGCTTCCCGCTTGCCTTGTTTTAAAAGGCAACTTGTAACGGGGCGGGGGGGAGAATGCACGGGATTATGGTGATGGCACACGGGTGACTTGGTGATGGGAAACCCACGGGGATTACAATTGAGATGGAAAAAAAATGTACAAAATGATGTAAAAATAAACTTTTGTAAAATAAAAAAAAAGGCAACTTGTAGGGTTGGGCTTCCATAACTCATTGACCGTGCATTTCTGATCTTGTATAGGGATGCACAACAATGGGTAACAAAAATGGTGGCTGAACAGGCCGTGTAGGATTAGCAGACCCATAGCAAGGCAGGACAAGTCTTTACTGGTCAGTGAGTGGAATAACTGGACGAGGGGCAGGGAGCATGCAGTTTTTAGAATTTAGTGGAGAGCTTTGAATTACTGATTTGGCAGAAGTGTTAGAATTGTTGCTTCTAAGGAGATGTTTGTTCTTTGGGGCTAGCACTACTCTTCATTGAGATGGTAAAATTGACAAAGAAAATCTGGGTTGGATCAGGGAAAATAGCCTTTTATCCAGTTATCCAGGTAACTCTATCTAATATAAGCAGAAAATGTTTTAGGAATGTAGGTTTGATATTATAGAAATGAGGAGTGGGGAGGTGGTAGCGTACTCTCGTGAGGAGAGTTATAAATTACTTTCCTGCTTTATTGCTCTCCTATCCATGCAGCATGAGAAGTGGAACTGTTTGCTTGTTGGTTTTTAACTACCACAGATGTTTTTTATTTATGTTGGTTAAACTATAGTACAGAGTGTGCTGTGTGACTTCTGAGTCTGTGCTAAGATCTTGCTCATGCATAATGCCGTGCAGCCTTCGGCCTCTGCTCAGGCTCAAGATCTGCTGGACTGTGAGCGCAGGAAGCAGGAGTGAGCCAGCCATTTGCAGTAGCACCCTGCTTTTATAATAGAGTGGCTATTTCAGGGCTATTGATGGTTCATAAAGCTTCAGCAGAATTAGAGCAGTTGTATCTTGGAATGTCTTTAGTGCCCTTTGTCTAAAATTGCATTTCATATTGTTAATAGACCCCATAAAGATAACACTTTTCTAAAAGTCACCGTATTTTGTGTATTTATTTTAATGATTTATATATTTATGCATACAGAACTGGGGTACAGGCCAGAAGTGCAAGGGAGGTGAGAGGATTCACCAGAGTCAGAGTTGGGAGCAGAACAAACAGATTGACAAAGCACACTGCTGAGGGAAGCTGTGGGCAGGTCAGGAGAGGTCTCCTGCGCCATGTGGGTCAGCTCCAGAAGGATCAAACTAGTGCCCAGGCAGCTGCAGCCAGCTTCTTAGTGCTCTGCTTTAACCATTTGCACCACCAGGAAGGGCCCAAATTTTGCATATTTAGAGAGATTTTTCAATATGGTATATTCCTGTGGATGGAGTAAACAGCACACAGGTGGTAGCTCCGTGAAGACAGAGACTTTGTTTCATTCATCACTGTATCTCCAGTGTTAGGAGCAATGCTTAACACACAGCTCTCAGTAATTATCTGTGGAATGAAGAGAAGAAATCTCAGAACTGAGATTTGTATATGTTGTGTTATTTAGCTAATACCACAAGGTGGCAGTGTTGTACCACGGACACAGAGGCTGTTTCCAAGACTCTAGTTTTACATGAATCCTACAAACAAAATGAATTGGCTACTGTTATGTTTATTGTCCGCTCCAGTTATTTATAGTTTTAGCTTGTGCTTAGTCTTTCAATTGAATGATTGGAACAGGCAGTTGAGATTGTAACCTAAATAAAGAACATTTGGTTCAAGCTTTGATCAAATGTTAAATAAGGTTATATCTTTGAAAGCCTAACTTAGTGACATGTTAGTTTCCTTTTCTTGTCTTTAATTTAGGTTAAAGAATTTGTTAAATTTCTAGTTGTAAGACATTATCGCCGCACATTGAAGCACATTGTGTGGAGTAAGGGTATTTTGATGATCAGGTTAGGTATTTTGCTTGCATGATTCTTTTATAGGATTAAAATATTTTATTAGCATGTAACTCTTTTAACTTATTTGTGTGTGTATCATTAGTGAATAGTCTATGATTTGCCTTAGCTTTGACCTTGGTATAAAACTTTAAATGCTGACAGGCTTTTATTTTTGTGGCTTGGACTTCTGTTTCCTTCTGATTAAATTGACTTTTGAATATTGGTTTCTGTCATTTTCCCCAGAGTGCGGTGGAGGCAGAAGAGGGTCCAGGATGGACCATCCTCCGAGATGACTTCATGATGGGAGCATCCATGAAGGACTGGGACAAGGAAAGTGATGGGCCAGACCACAGCTGACCGGGACCTGCCAGCCAGCTGGACGTGTGATGACAGTGGTTTAGTTTTTTGTAGAAAAAAATACTTCACGCTCCGAAAGCAGGGACGTTATAAGGACACCATTTGTTAGACAGCTAAAGACTTTTACTGTTACCAGCTTTCATGTTTCCCTATTTTCACATAAACTCTGTTAAATTTGTATTTTCAAACTTTGTATAGTTTAAGCATCATTCATCAAAACAGTTGTAAAAAGCATCATTTCTGTGCTGGGCCAGTGAGATGACACGCTACCAGGCCGCTAGCGACAGGCGTACGGGGAGGTCATGGACAGGGGTGCTTGGTTTGGTGTCACCTGTGTTTCTGGAATGCAGTTCTGGTTCATAGTGAGAATGAACTCAACCTTAGTATGTTTCATTTTGGAGCTGCTGCCCGAGGTGTGTGTAGTTTTTGATGGGGCATGAGTTGGTTGTTTTGGGGAACTGTTAAGAAAAAGCTATGTAGTAAAATTTTAAACTATTGTGTTTGTGATTTTGGATTCATTATTTCCTTTTTTATGCTAAGTAATATGTTAGTTTATCTGTAGATAAAGTCTTAGATGTATTTAAGTTTAGATTATGTTAGCATGAGAGATTTACTGAGGTGGAAATTCTCATGTTTAACTTCCACGTGAGGCATGGTTTCTTAGGAAGTGACTTGACAAGTGTTAGTGCCTTTCCCCCCAGTAGCTGAGTCAGCTTAACTTTCCCGTGCAGACAGGTGGTGATGCGGTGGAGGGGTACAGCAGGAGTGGGCAGCAGAGTGCCGCTCTGTGGGGAGCTTGATGTCCTCACGTTGGGTTTGAGATTTTCCAGTTGGATGATTTTTGGTATATAGCTGTTAAACAAAAGAGAAGAGGAAGTAATTTAGTATCATCCTAAAATGTCTATGAAACTGGACCTCCTTTCCGAAGCTTATAAGAGAATGCTTTAAGTCGTGGGATCTTCCCCTTCCTCCTCTCTCCAGCTTGCTAGGGTAAGAACGCGCCCTCCCAGTGCCCACTCACACACACTTGCATCTGCTATGTGTGGCCAGGTGGCCCTCTTCCCCAGCCCTGTGCTAGCAGAGCTGTTTATGCCTTCAAATCTATTTGGGTGTTACCAGTCCTGTGTACCGGAAGTTGAGTTAGTCCGTGGCCTGGTTTTTGTGACCATAAAGGAAGGTCCCCTTCTGAGTTACCAAGTGGTCACGCCAGCAGAACTTAAAATGCGTGTTTGTATTGACCCCAACTTTTGAGTCTTATTGAATTATGCAACTGCCATTCTTTTGGTGTAATATAAACAAACATGAGCAGGTTCCTCAGTGATATGGGAGTGCTGGATACCTGGGTGTAATTTAATACAGATATTTCTATGAAAGCCAGCGTGTAGATAATTTTGGAAAGAATTATTTGTACCACTAAAAATATTGTTTTCCTCCCCCAAATTAAAGATGATACTCTATGTTTTGCTATGAATCTATGTCTGGATCATACTATAACTTTAATAGAATTCCTCTGAATAGCACATCTGGGTGGTAGGAGTGGGTGAATCACTTCTCACTTATGAAAAGTTGTTTTAAAACATATTCATTGTGTAACCATTGGTTTAAACATTTAGAAAAATTGAATATTTTCAAAATGAAAGAGGAGAATGTTTAAACACATTCTCTTTCAGAAATTACTATATTGCAAAATAATATTTGAATTGCCACTACAAGAAAAAATATGACTGATGTTTGATGACTGTGTAGGTATAATACACATTGTATGAAGTAGTTTTTACCATACAGCTGTGATTAGTTTGTAGTATTTCTGCATCCTAGTTATATGAGTTTTAAGCAAAATACCACCACTTCTAAATAAGCAACTAAAGATGAGCACGTAATTGCAGACTAAATGACTCTCTTCAAATGAACATTTAAATAATGTAGCTCTTTCACCTCTACCCTAAGTATTTTACCTACATTTAAATTCTCTAACATCAATCAGAAGAATAATTTCATCATCCTACATTGTCTTTGAGATAAAAAAGAATTGCAACCCCTATTTGTCTGAACATAACATTGTCAGGGTTTTATTTTTGGTGACTACTTCAAGTAACAGACTAGTGAAGAGGCTACTTTTTTTTTTTAGAAGCTCAGGGCAGTAGCTAATAGGTGCAGTTCCTGGCACTGTTCCCTGCCCTGGCTGGGCAGACGCTGAGTGTTGAGCACTAAGTCAAAGTCAAAGATGCCACCGTTTTGGACTGGAAATAACTTAGGGACATCTTGGTTGGTGAGCTTACCACTTCACGTGTAGCTGGAACACAAATTGGTTATGGAGAATTCTGCAGAGGTCAAGGCTGATTCATTGGAAATCACTCCTTGGAAACCCCGTGGATGGAATAGTTTGAGGCTCATTTTCAGGACATAGAATGTTAAGACTCGCTAAGAGGCGCTGGGAGGTTTTTCTGGGGTTAACTTTGAGTTCTTAAAAATATTTTGTGTCTTTTGAAACAAGTGGGTGAGAAGAAAAATTTAAATCTGGAAAATCTCTTAGGGCTCTTCAGAGTAGTTTTGCCCATAAGCATATACCTAACTAACATCACGTGGTCACCGCTGTGCTATTCTTGACACCAGTACTGGTCTCAAGCACTTCATTTAAAAGCTCTTTCCCCCTATTTTATAGACCCCTGAGCTGTCCAGGTTACAGTAAGCCTGAAGGCTGAATTGTGAACTGAAATAGGGACTAAATGAAGACAAACTGTTAAAGGACTCATTAGATTTAAGAAAATCATTGTCAAGGAATCCTTGAAGAACAAATATTTCTATAAAAGAGATGAAATCAATAAGTTGGCACTTAACACAACGTTTGAATAACTTCTTCCTTCTCTCTGTATTCAGTTATTTTGTTATTAGAGGTTTTTGGTAATACTACGTATGGGGGAGGAAGCATGTGTGTGTTCTCATCGTCCAGGAGGGTGGGAAACCAAGCTGCCCCGCTGCGGCGGCTGCTTTCCTGCTGTGTACACGGCAGGACCCTGTGTACACGGGTGACCCTGCCCTCCAGTGGCCAACCCTACAAGCCACTGGACCCGTTCCCCAGAGCCCCACCCTCAGGACCTTACCTCACAAAGCGTTTACCTCTAAATTACTCTCACTTTGAGATTTAGGACTCCCAAATATGATTTGGAAAGACATACTCATTCAGTCTACAGCAGCATATGAAAATAGCAAATAGTACATTTCTAGCTTAGGTTAGAGCAACGTCAGCCACCATTGTTTCTTAACTTTGTTAACAGACTTATGTAGAAAGTAAATCATTTTCCTATTGTTAATAAAGCACCCGTTGAAGAGCCTGTTAGAATCATTTGAGTAATGATACTGCTTATGACCAAAAAATAAAAAAAATCATTTTCCTCCTGTAAAGACCAGAATGTTGTATCTCCTCTTCCTTTTTCAGTTTCTGCAGTAAGATCTCATGGTATGATTTGAATAGTGTGGCAATTTGGTTTAACAAATTTGAAATAATTTGAAATAAATCAGTTCTGCCAGGACTTAAAAAAATATTTGGTGAAGATAATCTTTTAAAAGTTATAAAGAAAACTAAGTTTATACATTAGAACTAGAGCTGTGGACAGATGAAATAGCTGGTTTGCTATCAATATGGGAACTGTAGGGAGGAGGGGCATTTTTCAGCAAAGGAAGAAAATTCATGTGGCCCTTTCCTTCAGCTCATCTGTAAGGATCTCTGTGACAGCCCTGTCCCCTGGTGTGTGAGTGATAGGCCAAGTCAGGCCCCGCAGATGTTATGAGTACGAAGACTATTTGAGGTGAATTGGCAGTGTGAACAAATTTTGGAAACGGGAGAGAGAGCTACTCCATGCCTACAAAAAGCTCTCTCATTCCTTCCCCAAGAAAACAGGAGTCTGAACTTTGGCCAGCTGGAGAGATGAATCTTACTGACTTGCAGCAAAGGTAGGCCTGGCAAATATTTTTGCCGGCTGAGCTTTTCTGAAACTTGATGAAATGTGTTAATCGAGAGGACCTCTGAACAGATTTGGTAGTAGAATGGTGTTTGAGGAGCTGATAAAACATTCGGAGCCCATGATTAGTGTTTAACTAAAGGCTAAGAGTTGTTCTGAACCAAATCAAAATTACAAAGATTGATACTACATTCTAACAATTATTAAATACTTTTTGTTTCTCTAGACAGTGCTTACTAGCGTGAGAGTAATACCACATGGCTGTTTCATCTAGTCTACTAAGCGTGATTTCAGAAAGTCATGATGGGTTCTTTTCTAGATGTGTGATGAACCTTGCGTTTAAAAGTTGTGCCCCCAGAAATGGTCACATGTTTTTTTGAGCATGTCTGGCCATCCGTGGTCACCTCACTCTTGTCTCCCTCCTCAATCACACAAGTGTGTATTTACTTTCAAATGCTCCTAGCTTTTCATCTGAATAAGCCAGGATTCTATTAGAAGAATGGATGCAATACCTTGTAATTTAGTTTCTAAGCCAGTCCCATTCTGGAGAACGCCATGATGATGGCTCTTTTACTTCTCTACTGTCTATCGTGACAACTCAGCATTTCAAATATGGCTAGTGATGTACAGGAACAAAGGAACTGAGTTTTTTTTTTTTTTTTTTTTAAGATTTATTTATTTATTCATACAGAACCGGGGTACAGGCCAGAGATGCGGAGGGTGAGAGGATTCACCAGAGACAGAGTGGGGAGCAGAACAGGCAGATCGACGAAGTACACTGCTGAGGGGAGCAGCGGGCGGGTCAGGAGAGGTCTGCCACGCCATGTGGTCACCTCCGGGGCAGGCGGGAATCGAACTCATGAGGAAGCGGCTTTAGATTCTCAGTGCTGTGCTTTAACCCGCTGCGCCACCAGGGAGGGCCAGGAACTGAGTTTTTAACTTAACTTTCACTGGTGATCTGCCCAGTACAAAGAGAATAAATTTTCAAGGCATATATTTTGTCTCATAAAAGTAAATTTTGGAGTCACAAGTCCATCTTGACTTTTGGAGATAGAATTTCAGCATTCTATAATACTGGCAGTTTCATTGATGAGATTATTGTTGGTCTCTTTCCTTTATATTTTTGGAAAGACAACTTTGCTTTATGATTACATAATTTCCTGCAGTAACCATCGTTACCTTGATTTTTCATCTGCAGCTTTCAGAATTAATACACTAAACCGTAAACCTTAATACTTTACTCAAAATGAGGTTTCTGGTGTAGAAGGAGCAGTATGAGAACTGTCAGAGTAGCAGATACTAATAACATCCAAGTTGCATGAAACCGCAGACTTTGCTCTCAGATGGAGGAACCTCCTTATTTCGGAGATTTCCTGAAGAAGTCCCTGCAGTTGTAGGACCTGAGAGTTGTCCAACAGCTCCAGACTGTTCCAGAACATATCCCACATCCTGCCAGAGCCAATGCAGGTTGCAGATTTGGGGGTGGTAGACTGTGGAGGGTACCAAAAAACAAAGAGCACAATGAGCATTATTATTAGCACAGCAAGTTTAAAATGATGAAGTGTTAACCACATTTGTATAAATAACAGTTTCTCTAACCCCTGCATCATTATCCTGCATTTTTAAAGCAGTGATTGATAAACATCAAAGCAAGCACATCAAATTTGTATGGGGTCAGGACCAGCGGCTGAGCCGGGAGGCAGCTGAGAGCCACGACCTCCGCGTGGGTGGCCTTGCAGCTGCTGGTTCCCCGGGGCCACTGGACAGTTGCGGCTTAGTGTTTGCGAAACCAGACTTGGGTCTTTGATATAAAAGTGCCCCTCCCTCGGAATGGACATAAACAATGAGTGGACATCGGATCTGAAAACATCATTGAGGCGATCAGATGCAGCCGTTGTCCTGAGACCCTCAGATGCCCCAAGCATAACAGTGGGCTGCTACTGCTGTTGGTCTTTGTGCAGTAAACACTGACCGCTCACGTGCATCATAAAAATAAAAGCTCAGGTCCAAAAGGCTCAAGGTGAGAGTATCTTCTGCAGGTGGCAAGAATGACACCGCATGACACTCACCTGCCCTACTTTGGCCCATAGGATCTGCTACACTCCTTGATCAGTGAGATTATGTTTACATTAGACAGTTTTTGAGAAACCAGCCTTCACTGGCAGACCACAGCAATGGAATTTAGAATCAAAGCTGAGTTCAGAGTTGAGGTTGACCTTTTCCTAGCTCTGTGTCCTTCACACCCTGACTCCTCAACCTTGGAGGGCAGCATGGAAATCAGGTTTAGAGATTGTGGGACCGGAAGAATTTGAGCAATGTTGGCAGTGTGTCTAGCATAGACCTGGAGGAAGCCTCAGGAATGTTCTCTTGTCCATCAGGGGGACCAAGTGTCTGGATCCATGTCACTAATCTCTGACTTAACTATAAAGCTCCTCTTTTAAACCAAGACCCCTCCTTCCCTGCCCCTATTTAAGTGTGGCAGGGTGGCAGATAGTATGTACTTACTGAAAACTAATAATTCTAATCTGGAACCCTCAGGAAAAGATCTTGATTGCTTTGTACAGTGTTAGAGTATTTATTGGTTTTAATCATAAGGCACAGTAAGCACGAGCTGGGGGGTAGGACATGGATGTGAACATTGTGCTTTCCTGGCAGCTGCCCTTCCATGGAGGGCTGTCACCCTGAAGAGCACCTGTCGATAGATAATATGGGAACTGAAAATGTAAGAGACCAATGGTGTAAGTACATTTTTTTTAAGCCAAAAATGTATCAGATGACTGAAAATACAGTATTTTTACTGAAAAACTTTAAAAATCTTTTATTAAAAAGGTCATCAAGGGGCCCTCCCTGGTGGCACAGCGGATTAAAGCACAGCACTAAGAAGCTAGAGTCACTTCCGCATGAGTTCGATCCCTGCCTGCCCCGGAGGTGACCACATGGCGCGGCAGACCTCTCCTGACTCCACTGCTCCCCTCAGCAGTGTACTTCATCGATCTGCCTGTTCTGCTCCCTACTCTGTCGGTGAATCCTCTCACCCTCCGCATCTCTAGCCTGTACCCAGTTCTATATGAATAAATAAATAAATCTTTAAAAAAAAAATGTTCATTGAAAGGACAGTTCTGACACTAACCTCCTGACACAAAATGCTAGTAGAACTTTTGGGTTAATATGGGAGGACTGTGTAGAGCCTGATTTGCTAGACTCTTACCCTTTAAATTTTACTAACTACTTTGCTTAGAATATTGAACACAAGACACAAAAACTCTTCCCTCTTGTGTATCTCTACTGCTCCTCTGTGCCTCTTGATTAATAAAAATTTATTTTGAAATGAGGACCTCTGTTTTTTGGATTTGTTTAGAAATCAGGGTTCCATGTTGCTTTCACACATCTTACGTTGATAGTCTGTGAGTCCATCAAGTAAGAAAAGTTGGAAAAGAACAAGTGATGACAGCAAAACTTTATATGGTATTTATTATATGGCAGATACTGTTTGTGAATTCATAATCCCCTTAACTCATACTGTCTTCTTAATGGCCCTCTAATGTTGGTGCTGTCATTGTCCCCAAACACAGGTTGGCGGCTGGGAGCACGTTAAACAGTAGGTTAACTTGCTGAAAGTCACAGCCAATCTGGTCAAATCCCAAGTGGCAAATCCCAACGCCCAGGCAGCAGATAAACACAAGTGAGTCCTCATCTTTTAGATGATATTTATATCTTAATAATGAGACTCTAGACGCTGAGTTTTGCTCTGGACAAATGAACAGGCAGGTCCTGTTTTTTGGTCTCAGTTACCCACATTAGGAACCAATGGCCAGTGGGAAGTAGAAGCAGACACCACATAGATAAAAAGGTGAAAATTTCCAGCGGCATTTAGAATTTGAAGTAGCGCACTGCCCTAACCCCCGTCCCAAGCTTCATTTTGATTGCGAATGTCAGTTTATAATGCAGTGTGTTTGGAGAATTTTAGCTTTTATTTGAGTATATCTGGTAACTTCATGTCAGTTTTCTGCATGCTGCAGAAATGAAACTATGGTAACAGGCCGGTGGCCCATACTTCTGTCTGGCTCCTTTTATCAATATCATACATTTTGTCCGTAAGCTGCTTTTTGGTATTTAATGACAACAGATGACTCAAGAAGATGCAGTGCTGACATTTTTGCTATTAGGTATTCAAAGTAAGCTTTATAAATGAAGACTAGATTTTAGTTTTGAGTGTTGTTGGCTAGAGCAGACAATAGGCAATTAATGCTTTAGTTAAAGAAGTTCCATTGTTCCTGATCTTTTCCCCAGCATACTTGTTCTCCGATATGTATGTAAAATAGTAGTTTTTATTTTTTGTCAAATATTTATGTTTATCGGAAAAAGAGCAGATAAATCGAAAATAGCCTCAGAGTGAAACTGCTAAAGGTGTCAGAGTGAAAACATACAGAAAGATGGTACTGTACTCCAAGTGACCATCCGGGTTGGATTTCTCCAGACAGAAACTTGGAAGCTATACCCCTGCTCGCCAGTAGGTGGCATGAGTCAGGCTATTTTAGAATTCTAGATTAAAAAATCTTTTTCCCACAACCAGATG